GGTTTTTAAAGTATCACGACTGGAATTTTGTATCCAAGGTTTCCAGTTTAACCTTTTTTTTCAAACTTGTGTTATTTAATTATTGGGAAGTTTTGTGTCTAATTACTTTTTGTAAATGTATGCAAAACTGCAATTTTTGCAACAAAGTTAAAATGTTAATTAAAAATATTACTCGTGTATATTGATGTTTCCAAGACAGTTAATATTTGATTTCTTATTCAACTTTTTATATATGTCCTGTGTAGTTTAGTTATGCAATCAAAATTAGGCACGTATATTAAATCCCATTGAGGTGGGTAGCTAGGGGTCAGAGGGCATGTTATTGCATTTGTAGACTTGTATTCAAAATTTTATTGCACTACTGTTTTATGAATGTATGTCAAACTTGGTATCAAATTGTAGATTTGAATTCAAATTTTATTACTAAACATTAGTTTATTTCTTAATTTGAAAGTAAAATAAAGAAAAATTGCTAAATATCAATTTTTGTGTGTGTCACACTGGTACGTTATCTTCTGGGTTTGGTCACATTACATTTTATGATACCCACAATACAATGTCTATAGTTTCACATGAATTATAAACTCAAATTTCTGATATTGGCAAGCTATAATATAGAATAAGAACCTCTTACCTTTTCTATTTGTTTTCATAATATTTATTGTATCCACTATATTGGCTCCGCCCACCACTTCATCATTTGAGAGCCTTGTTTATATACACCTGATTCTATACCTATAAGTTTATAACCAGTTGAAAGCTCAACATTTCCTCCATGTTAGTCTTTCTAAGTTATTTATGAGAGAAAAGCTCTTATATTGTTGGAGAGTTTGAAGTTTTATGATCAATGCTATTTTCTGAACAGAAATTAGATTTTTTTAGACCCAAGTACAGTATAGTTAGGAAGCCTGGTAAATTACAATAGATTTTTTGTGGTATAGGTATAGTCATTTATAATTTTTTGGTATTCAAACATGCATATATAAAGTCTGCAAAAATTATTTTTTCCTAACTAACTACCTAATAAGTTGTTAAGTAAACGTTTTGGGAACCGTAAAAGGGTACGTTTAACCGAAGTTAGGAAACGGGGTTTTAAGGACCTAAAACGGT